ACTCACTGCCTGTAGACTTAAAACAAGTCAAACATTTATTAAAAATCTACAATGGGATTTGAAGAGCGCAGGACCCACCATAACCAATGATGAGTTTATATGTTCCTCAGATAGTCCCATGTGACAAGTTGTCCACCTCTATCCAACATACCCAACAAGACTCTAGATACAAGCAATATTCTGTTACAGTAGAGTGAAGCAGGCAGGACCCAAATGCAGAATAAACTGATAACACCTTTATTTCAAGGATATAAAAAAATAACTTGGACAAAACAGAACACTCACCGGTGAACTCAGTCGCAAACAAAAGACGAACCAACACTGAACACAGGAAGAGACAAGACTAAATACAGGGAGGGGTAATCACAGGACGAGAAACAGCCGGGCAGGGGAGGAGAAACGCAAGGGCTACAGGTGAACACAATCAGACAATTAGACACACCAGGGAAACTAACGACAGGGAGGAAAAACACAGGGAGAGGGACCAGACAATACACAAGGAGGAAAACAAGACAGGGAGAACCGAACAGCAAAATAAACCCAAACATACAAAACTACAAACGTGACATAACATGAGAATCATGACAAAGTCAATACACCTGCTGGTTGTTGTTTGCCCCTAAAACTCCAAATTGTCACAGAGACACGAAAGTGGTATCAATCTTCTCATTTCACTCCCAGCAGGAAATAGAGCAAAAGTATTTTCCAAAATGTTGAAGTATTCATTTTGACATGTCATCAGTGGTTTCCACACATTCCTGTGTTCTGGCAGAGAAATGTATTGTGTGCTTCTCGTGTGTCCTCAAGGCGGAGAGGAATGAGGTTCTTGACTCATTTTGACATCTGCTTACTACAAAAGGTCTGCTATACCACCAGAGTATGTCCAAACCTGAGAAGTTGCAGAACCACTTCCTGTATCCATAGTAGAAGTTTATTTAGACCTATATACTCGGAGAGAGAGGTGGATAGGGCCTTCATGGTGTATGCTGTGTCAGCAATGGAGGAAAGAGAGGGAAGAGGGGGGATGGAAAAAGAGAAAAAATGACTACCTCATGTGGAGATCATTTCACAAAAATGTATTTATTTCTGTATTTTACAACTGCTTTCTCATTAATATGCTTTATGCTTCTGGGATTCAAAGGAGACACATTTGTCATTCATTTGTTGCTTTATTTTCGGCTGAGGCGTTGCATTCTTTGCTCGATTTATTTTTGGGAGCACAACAGCAAATGGTTTTAATTTACGGGTGCTTACGGGTACAGTGCTGACTTGTCTTGTTGTTGATCTTATCCCAGACCTCTAGATCTGCGACAGTGGTCTACGGCTGGTCAAAGGGATGGTGGGTTAAATCCTGGATTGACCAAGGACTGGCTGGCGAGAATACACAGCACAAATCACTGCGTCCCAGGGGGCCGGCCTGAAGCATGCCATGAGGGTTTCTGCTGAGAGTGTTAGCGGGGGGGGCAGGCGGAGGGCAGCTGCAGGTCAGCCGAACAAATCCCTGCACTGAAGAGCAGCCCTTTGTCTAGCTTGATAAAGACTCAAAGGCAGATGGAGAGGAATATTTGTTGCACATCTTCCCAGTCACTAAAAGAATGTGACTCACAGTGGGGCTTAATGCAGGGCAGCAAGTCCTCAGCTGGCAAGTACATGCATTAGAAGATGAGACAGACTGATCATATTTCACAGGAAATGTTTTCATCTCAGTAATGCTTTCATTACACATCCTGTAAAATTGATGGAGGCATAGTTTATGTCTCCTGTCAAAATGGGGTACGAGTTAGGGAAGTGTGCATAATGTCAGTACATAATGTGCCTTTATGAACTGAGACAGACAGTAATGGACCATGAACACAAACTCATGGGCATGTACATTATTCACTTTCACTTTCACTGATGGGCAGTTAGTTGCTCACATTCCTGTTGAACTGGCACACATAATGCGCCTCGTTTTAGATGTGTTTATGCAGTTGAGGGTTGTAGAGTCCCATGGGTCAGAGGACTTAAAGGTGAATCTTTCTTGACTCATGTCTCAGTGCCTTTTGAGTCTTTGAGTAGTCGTATACATTTCTTCAATTGACAATAGTTTGCATCCTGTTGGTTCCCAAGTGTTTGACGTCTGTATGTGGGAGCCGGATACATTTTTTTTAGATCAAGGTGGTGGAATGGCCTCTAATGTGTCTGACCCATACAGGAGACTAGAGTTAGCGCTCTGTTGCAGACCAACAATTTCTGTTGGATTGTCTTCAACTCTAACCATACTTTTAGTAGCCTAACCTCAACCACACCAAATCTACCGTAACGATATCCTATCCATAGTGTAGTTTCTGTCCCTGAGTGATCCCCCCAGCAACAGCTGAATTAGCATACACACATATTTAGAAAAACATTAAGTGACATAAATCCCAAAACAAGAGGATGCTGAAAGGTAGAGGGAGTTAGGTTTGCAAAAGGCACCATGGACTAAAGCTCATCATTAGTGTATGGACATGTTGAAAGCTTTTTCACGCTTCTTGACCTTATTGTGATGTGGACGATGATTTGCTCGGGTCTCTGGAACTGACCTTTCATAATAGGTGCTTCACTGTTATAGCCTTTTGTAACATGTTGTGTTTTTGGTTAAGTGTTTGTTCAGTGTTTATAAGTGTTTGAAATGCTCCTTATTTTTATAATAAAAATACTTTACGCAAGTTGCCAGTGGGCAAAATGCTTCCCAATTAGAATTGAAGGAGCCACATTTGAAGTATTTTTCTGTGTTTGTTACGGTACATGTTTTTTGAGTCACTACAGGTGGTGGGAGTGTCATTGGATTTGGGTGGTGACGTTTGTGGTTATATCCGGTTGCTTTTACCTGCGCACTTTGTAATAGATGGAGGGGGAGTGAGCTGGAGAAGGAACATTTTCGTTGACCGCACGCACGCATGTACGCATAAAGGAATATAGGCCTACGCATATGGATATGGAATGTTTGCTTTGGAAATAAAAGGTCAAACACAGACTTTTGGAAAGACTGAGTTTTTGCGCATCCACAGTGTTTTTTCTCTTGTTTAGTCCCTCGCGGCACTTTGTTTGGATATTACTGCCGCAATAAGGATGATTGTGTCATATCTTTGACACATGCGCTACCTTCTGTTCAAAATAAATGAAAGAAACATATCCTTATGCTTTTATTTTCTTTCCCGTTACACCCTTTACTTTATATTTATGGACGCTATAGGAAAGAGCCTGAACTTCTGCACGGCTCCTTTTGTTATCAAGACTGGAGATCAAAATGAGCTCCAGCTGCCTTGACTTCCATCTTATCTTCATAGCAGGCTTACCATTTCAGAATAATACAGTGCAGACATTGCTTTGCAGACATTAGATCAGGCGCTCCTATTAATTCAAAATGTCAGTTAAAAAGGATTTAAAAAATAAAACATGACATTTCTGGAGTTGCCGTCGAGCTTCTGTCAGTGTGGTTTTATATAAAGCCGTAGTTTCTTTTAACAACTCGGCCTAACCACCTCATCAAACATCTTCGCACTACTCAGTGCTACGTGTCTCTGAGGGATACTTTGACCAGTCGTAATGACACGCCTGCAACCAACTGTCATCTGATAGGGTGTCTTTTTTCACATAATGGATGTTTGCTAAGCTCTCCTTTCCCAGAAGGTTGTTTTCTCAAACACAAGAATAACACACACAAGTATTGGAAGTGTCTGACTCCATTTTCTGTCAGCAAGTCTTAGATATGCTCAAGAAGTTCTACGTATATGCCTCAGCTTCAGTGTTACACTTAATGGAGGACTTTTGGCTCCGGAGAGGGCCAACATCAACTTTTCTGTTTCCTCTCTTTTGAAAAACAGCCGAAAGCTAGAATGAAAAATGTGTATTTTCCTTTGTACTGCTGTGAGTCACAGAGCGACTCTCGGACCTGCCTGCGTTTTTTGTTCTGGCTTTGATTAAGTTGGCCTCGCAACAGCACACCACTCACTGTTGATCTTGTTTATGCTTTTGTATTTTTGGAGATACTAAAAAATCTCTGTGTTGTGCAAAGAAGCAAGTCATGTGGAGCCTTTCCATCGACTTGGCTCCCGAGTGTTTTGGATGACGGTTTCAAGTCAGGCATGTGTTTGTGTCTTCACATCTGTACATCTGCTGCAAAGGAAAATATCAGAGTCACTCAGTCTGCATGGATATAGTACAGCAGCTCTCATGTTGTGTGAAGTTCAAATTGTTATGTATTCAGTACAATAGTTCAGAGTTAGTTCACCCACAATATACAACAACTGATTTTACTCTTTAGTAAGGTCTTGTGTGTGCATTTGGTGCTAATTGGCTGGATTCAGAGACAGTACTCCAATCCCATGGAGGAATATGAGATTGTGTTTGTTCTTATAAAAAACAAAACAGCATGATTCATTTCTTAAAGCAATGGAACTACTTCTGTGAGAGAAAAACCAATGCCTCTCGGTCACCTAAATTCAACATGTGGGGTTCTTTTCAAAATCTCAGCCAATACAATTTTAAAAAAATGCTCACTGGACAGCTTCTGCAGTAAGTGGGAAAATGTGTATTTTGTGCTGTGGACAACTGAAATTTGGCATCTTTTGATAAAATGTTAATTTAATAAGACATTACACAACTGTTGACATGGACCACAGTGGAGCTACACTAGCCTGAGCTGGAAGTCAGACCACCCTCTCTGTGGTCAGCGTCCCAAAAGAAAATCTAGACTTGGACTCCACAGTGTTTGGTTTTATTGGCACTGCTGGGCGATGAAGCTTGAAAGTGGTGTGCTGTGATTGTATTGAGTGAAGCACAGACTCGGGCTGATGATCATCAGGCTGGCTGATGATTGTTGCTGATTCAGTATCTTAAGTACTTCCATGGTGGGCCACCCAGCAGGCGTGACCACGGAAAACCCAACTGCACAGATGGTTTGGGAGTTAACTCCAGTGTTCAACTTAGCACCAAAGTGGTTTTGGGTTCAAATGAATTGCGTAATGATATATTCTAAACCCGCATGACAAAACATGTATTAGTTTATTTGTGTTCAAGTTGTTGTGGTGCAGTAGAGATTAGGAGAAGTCAAGATTTCTGATTGATTGATCTCACTGCGTCTGATTTGTCAACGTCTTCCAAGGCACAGATAGTTCTCTGAGAGGCTCCAGTGTGGGAGCCAAAATGAATGCAAATCTTTCTCAAGACTAATATGGTTACAATTATAGATGTGTTTGCCACACTTAACAGAGTGAAGAAAGTTCTCCTAGTAAAAGGAAAATGAGTCGGACTAAAATTGTTTCTAGAGAATAATGACATCAGAGGCACATTGCTGCATGCATGGTTCTCGGCCAAAAATACAACATCCCGTAACTTCTTGCTTTATTAGACCCTCTTGTGCACTTTGCCTAACCCTGTGGATGACGGAAATTGTTTTGTATCAAGTGTTGGTTTTGTTAAGAGGCCAGAGCAAGTGTTTTCCTTTATAATAACCATGTTTCATGTTATGGCTACGTCACTCACAGCGTCTTTGGAACCAAATAGTTGGTGCGTTTTAGGACTGAGATTGGGATCTAAAGCCAAACCTGATTATCCATCGATTGACATGCCAGGCTGGATCCAAGATATTTTTGTAATTTGGGAACATTGTTATAGCAACTCTAACCGGCACAGTTAACTTGTAAAGCTAACTGACATTTTAAGAAAAGCTAATCTTTTGGAAAATCTGTGTCCAAGGCTTGTGACTGTCAGAGTTGTAGATTTAGTTTTTCTGTGATGAGTTCACTGCCAGCCAAACTAACATCATATATAACGTGATGCTAATACAGAATGCAAAGTTGCTGTAGTTTACTGGGCTATCTGTTGAAGTTATGTTTCTTTTTCATTATACGTGTATATATGTCTCTATGTTTTTGTTGTGCATTTTTATGGATTGAATGGTAATATTTCACTTGTCATACTGTTGTCATAAGTTTTTAATTTCTCCCATGAGGGTCAACACACATCATGCAACATGCTGAATAAACAGTTGGATTGAAGGCTACCTGTGGGTTTGCTTGTTGCTGTACTTGGTTAGTAGTACAGTTAGTCTAACTCCTCATTTTCTCTGTGCTTTTTCCAAATGTTGTGTTTGTTTTTTTAACAGATTTAGCTTTGTAACCACTATAACTCGTGTCTGCTTTCACAGCTACACTCTTCGAAACACATACATTTGCTGTCTTCCACCTTTATTAAAAGCAATTTGACCCTGTGGCATGAATGCACCTCCAGGCATATTGAGGGCAGAGACACATCATAAGTCAAAATCAAGAGAATAGTTGCTCATGTGGTACGACTTACATGGTGAAAGCGAGG